ACCCTTTTGTAATCGATGCCTTGTAGACCTCAGGGCCAACTAAATACGTGTTGGTTCCCCAAATCAGCAACCTGTTTCAAGCCTCCAGGGCTTTTTACAGACTGGTGTCTTGTCTGTAACACAATTCATCTCTTCCCCTCCTCATTCTGTCTTGCCCATTCAGTGCTGTATCATGTCCCTTTTAGGGGTCGCCTTCATCAAACAACTTTCCCGATGGCCAGCTCAGTGTTGTCGCTGCTTCCAGAGCACTTACGGCATTTTTTATTGAGGTACTTACCACACGGGTTTGCCTGTCTCCTCCAGTCCTCAAAAAGCCAGGAGCTATAATTTGTCACAGTATCTCCTGGCTAGGACATCATAGGAATTTAGTAAATATTTACTAAATTTTAAAATATGAGCAAAGTTATAAGAATGAGCATTTGTTGGATATGCTACGGGTGAATGGTGAACACATTCTGAAGGACAGAGGAAGGTAGGGTTTGAAATGCTGAATTTGGAACTACTGGACAAATAAAAGGCAGGACCTGGCGCTAGGGTTTCTGGTAGAAACCAACACTATAGCAAAGCAGCTCCGCAGCTGATGTAAAGCCCTCTCCCCTGCCACACCCCCCAATGCTGAGGCAACAGGATACAGACTGAGGTGGACGGGCAAGTGTGTGAAGGGGGAAAGTGCAGGAGGGCCTCCAAAGCTGGAGTCAATTTTGGTGGCGACACTAAGGCTTCAGAACTGGAATTAGGTGGCCGTTGAGGTTTTCTATGTAGCCTGGATAAGAAAGATACAATGGGGATAATCTTATATCATGAAACATCTTAAATGTCAGGCTGAAGACTGTTTCTGAGTCTTGGGTCCCCAGGCAATCCGTGAGACGTGGTGACCAGAGGGTGGCACAATGGGAGCCTGGTAAACAAGCCTTGACCGCACTGCAGAACACTGCAGGCAGCACGCGGGGACTGCAGGCGGCCGCTTGGATGGTTTGAGGGTATTTATTTAAGTGAATATTTTACGATATATTTGAATGAATATTTTACAATATATTTATTTTGTCAAAGGTAATAAAAGCTTAAACTGGAGGGGTGGCAGTGAAACAATGAGGAAGAAAAATGCAGCATTCATGGAAAAATTGGGAGTAGCCTTGAGATTTGATAAGAGCAAAGAAAGACATACATTTGCAAACAGAAATTTTAATGAAATAAAATGGTTAACTATTGATTACAAAAACAGAACATATATAACAGAAGCCAGGTACTTTGTTTTTTTTGGGGGGGGGCGGTAAATAGCTCCATTGATTTAGAGTGTCTGTGTTACTCTTTCACAAAGAATAGCAATTCATATGCTATTTTTATTAATGAGTGGCTTTTCATTTGAATGAAGACAGAATCTTAACACCTCAGATATCACAGGTTCCCTGCAGGTACCATGTAATGCTGGGCATCGGCTCAGTGGAGGAAGCACAGCCAGCTCCTACAAGATCGAGTTTTGCAGAGCCACCCTGTATAAGAGGCCTTTAATTGTATTCCCTGATGGACACTTCTACCCTAAAATTATTTTGCTTTTTATTTAAAAAACAAAACCATGTTCCAGACAACACTCTTGTTGGAAAACAAGAACATTTTATTTAGAAGTAGACTCCGATGATGTTCTCTATCAATTCTTCCCCCCACCCCAAATTCTTCACCTCAAAAATAAAATTTTAAAGACTCAAAAACCTTTCCACATTACCAGCTTTCTACACTCATAAAGCCAGAAACATATGAGAATATTATTTTGTGTTTTGTGTATATTTGAAAATAATTTAATACCATTGTGATAACCCAAGTTATTATCAATTGTCTTTTATAATCCTCATTATACAGGCCTCTGGGAGATCATATTAATATTGAAAAGCACACAGTGTCTCACAAAATAATGCTTTTAATTATAATTAAAATAGAAGAAAATCTCATTCTTGTGTGGAATGATTATGTAGTGGTCATCCTTTATTAGACACAAAATCCTTGAAGATTGGGACAGGTCTTATTTTTCTATGGAACATCAAGTGTTATGTAATTCTTGGCATATAATAAACCATCAAAACCATTTTTGAATAAATGATATTTTAAAGAAATATAACACTTACATAGAACCTACTATGCACCAAACACCTACCCAAAGTGATTTACAAATATTAACTCATTTAATACTCATTAGAAAACCCTTGTCTTACAAAGGAAATTAAGGCTTGGAGAGGTTAGACTATTTGCTCCAAAACCCACAGCTTCTTAGAAAGTGATGGAGCCAGGCATAAAACCCAAGCAAAGCCATGCCGAATCTGTGGTTTTAACTAAAATTGCCTTTTAAAATTCTGTCTTTAAATGTAAATATATAAAATATGTATATAAATATATATTTTTATTACAGTATTGCACTTAGAACAAGAAGACCTAGGTTCAAACACATATTAAATTTATTTGGCTTGTGGTTTTGAGCAAGTACATTAACCTAATGGGTCCTTAATTTCCTCATAGGTAAATCAGAATAATAGCTGGTACCTCACAAAGCAATTGTAAGCTTTACATAAATAATTCATGTGAAAATTCTAGAACATAGTCAGCACCTGGAATCTGTTGGTGTGCCAAGGAGAATGGTACTGTTTTTCTCCTTCTCCCCTTTCAAAATGGTACATATTTACACATTACACACCATGCAGGTCTTAGCAAAATAAGGTCAAGTTCTGTTTCACAAAGGATTATTTCCAACATCTCCTACAGGTACACTTAATTTACTGAAACATTTTCTGGACAGCCAATAAGCTTCAAACTCAATAGATTGTTTTCTGGAGAGAAAGATTTTTTCCTGGTGGCTGTTATGATTTAAACATCTACCAAACAAAAATCTCTTTCTTCGAATTAGGAAGTCAAGTTATATACTTTATTAAGGAAAACAGGTTAGCCCATCAATAAAACATATACTATTTATTTTTTAGTAAGACCCTCTGACACTAACAGGCTCTGCCAAATCCGACGGGAACCATCTCGGCCATTGGTTCCTAACTATGGCTGCACATTACCGTCATATATATACATATTTTTAAAATGCAAATGCAGACCCCTTCCTCAGATATTCTGATTTCATTGGTTTCGGGGAGGGTCTGGACAGCCATATTTTTTTTTTAAAGTTCTTCCATTGAGTCTAATTTGCAGCCCAAGTGGAGAACACTGGTTTAGGCTATCACTGAAAATTTCACCGGTCTCCTATTTCCAGTTTGTTTTTACTCTTAATAAAAACTGACAATAGATAATCATTCATCTCAACATTGCAAGGGTCTGAGAAGTTCACCAAGAACAGAGTTGCCGCAGCATTCCGAGGCCAAAACTTAGCTCTATTTCTTTAACTGGAGCAAATTCTGTTTTTCTCTAGTCATCATCATTCATTATCCAGAATTCCAAAAACACAAATAAGTGGGAAACAGAAGCCGAACTGATATCAGCTAATTTTCTTCAATTCCAAGCATCACAAGACAATACACCTCTAAGATTATTTATGTGTTCCTGTGCGTAAGTAATTATAAGGATTTCATGTCTTCTGTGCTCAATATGCTGGTGTGGTCAGTAAGTAATCTTAGAGCACTTCTCAATATGACTGAATATTATTCCTGTGGCTAGAGCTCCCGAAATTAACAGTAGATTAGAGGCATAAAACCCAAACAAATCACGGCTGAGGGATATTTTGAGCTAGTTAAAACACTGCGTGGAAATGAGTGCCCCCCAAGAGCACTGGCTCAAACTGCAGAGATGCTTTGCAAATCTAATGACCTTAGTTCCTCTCATAATGCTAATGAAGAGGACCAGCAATTTTGAAATATTAAAGCTGAGTTCTTGAACTGAACACATAGTAGGCTGGCAACATGCTATTACAAACTATACTTTATAAATTGCACAACACCAAATGCATTAATTCCTACTTTGTCTTTCATGGTCGGCCAAAGTGGTCCAAATGCATAAAACATTTGCCTTCTCTTATCATTTAAGACACACTCAAACTTGGACATTCTGCTATTTAACGATTAGTTCCAGGAACTACGTGGTCACACTTTGGTTTGTCTTGAACATTTCACTTTCAATCATGCAATAATTTCAGCAAATAGCTGTGACTAGATGACTTGGCTCAGGTTAACCACAGCCACGACATCGGAAGGGTCTCCTGAATGTCCGCTAGTGCATCCCTGCCTTCCAGTCTTGCATGTACCATGTAAGGTTAGGTTAAAGCTTTTGGATAGAACTTAAGTAGATTTGCAAAATAAAGCCTGAATAATGTGTTAAAACTCTGATCGGACTGTTGATTTTTGACTTTGATTGAATTTTCTTGGGTCTCAAGAAGAATATATGTTTTCGGAAAAAGGGTTAATTTATTAGAGCTGTGCTAGGTGCCCTTCACACAGGCTTGGGAAGAGCATCACGAGAAAAGAGTACCCATTTGGAAACTGTGCACACAACATATTTTTCCTAATAGGTGTGAAGAATGGCTGCTATGCATAAACGATTGTTGGAAAATAATTCTCTGTAAAACATGACTTAACAAGCAACCCCATTCACCCCTGTGCTCATTCCCAACATCCAGAACAGCCACAACACATCACATAGACGCTGACATTATCTTTCTGTTAGTTAATAAACACCGTTTGGAAAAAAAACCCACCACTGTTAGCCCCATAATTTCCATATCCAATAAGGTGGATAACAAAATTTTGAGTGAAAAATTATATTAACAACATAACAAAAGTCACAAAATTCAGAGGACTTTTCAATATGAAACTAAGTTGTAGCATCTTCCCAAGACCACCTTTTCTTCCTCAATCAAGGGCACAGTGACGCGCCTGAGACCAAGCTGACCCCCACATCAGAACCTCAAACACCACAATCAAACAGCAGTTTTGCAATAAGAAGAAACAAGGTACCTCAGACAGTGCCACTGTTAACCATCCCAGGGAACAACCCAAAGCTCATCCCCAGACCCTCCTTACTTCGCATACTGGCGCTGGACGGCTGGGCACAGCTCAGTAGAAGCGAAGGAAATTCTCAGGTGCTCCAGACTCTGGAACTCAAGCCACAGCGTTCATCTGCAGGGCAGGAGATGTTAGGTGCTGGGTGAGGTGCAGACAGTGCGCACCCCTCCAACCCAGGCAGGTGGGCCAGCCGCGCACTGCAGCCCACCCAGAGTCTGCCTGGGGGGCTGCCTTTCTTAGTTTGAAAAGAGAGCAAACAGCGTTAAGTCCTGAACCCTCTCTCCCCTTTCCCCTCTTCCTGATTTCCTGACACTTGAATTCCGCCTTAAGTGATGCTTTAAACCTAGCTCCAGCTTGTATTACAGGCTAAAAGGCAACTGCTTTTTCCCCATGCTTTATTTCCACCTCCCCAAAGTCCCGGAGGCTCACCTTCCAGGCGCCTGCCTTCTCTCCCTCAGCTGTGAGCAGTGCGCAAACTTCTCCTGACTTAGGAGTCTTATACTCTCCCGCACGCCCGCCCCACCCCTCCCATCTCCCTCCTCCCTCACGGCCCCCCTCCCAGCTGCAGAGGAGGTGGCTGCGGAATTGATGAGCTCCAGCCGCCCCCCTCCTCCCCTCCGCCCCCGCCAGCCCCTTCCTGTCCCCGAAGGGGGAGTGGCAAGCTGGAGAGCACTAAGCGCCTCGCGCCAGCCCCTCTCGCCCGGACAGCGCGAGTGGGGCTTCGCCCGTGGCTGCCTTGCTCCAGTCCGGGCTGGGACTCACTCCACGGGTCCCGGAGACTAAAACGCGGCGTAAACACGGAAAGCAAGAAAGGGACCCGAGTTAGACCTGGGGCAGGGAGGAGTGGGTGGGCTGGGGGCAGTGGTCCGGTCTAGGAGATTCATACCGTCCCTGGAGACAGCTTTTTGGGAGCCCTGACCCCTCTCTGGAGGATGCAAATTCGGAGGGAGGTGAGTTTCCAAAAGAACCCTCCCGGGAGACCTTGCCACCCTGGCTCCTTCAGCCACTACTCGGGGGACAGCACCACCTGGGAGCCCCTGGAGAGGGTCGGTAGTGGGTGAGGCAGTGAAAGTGGGATGGGGAGGAGCGGAAAAGCGCTTGAATATGGCTAATAGGATCTGTTCCTATGAGTCCCCAAAGACCTGGACTCCTTCCAACTTGTTGCTTTTCTGTTCCTAGAGTGAGACTCATGTCCTTATGACCTAAGACAGAGTTCCAGTGACTGCAACCACATTTCATCAAGTGGCAGGATGCAGGAAGCAAAGGATAGAGCATTGAAGGGTGTGTGCCAGCTTTCTTTCAAGTGAAGTTCACACAAGCTGCTAAGTGACTCTTGTACTTACAGCGCATTGGCACAATGAATATGGGCAAATAATATAGGAAAATCAATTTTTATTCCAGACCAACTTGTGATAAAATTGTATCAATGAAAGGAAGTGAGGATGGATAAAGTGGACAGTTTTGATCTTTTCTAGAAAAGTTATTACAAGAACCACAGTGAATATTATTTATAGCTTACTCTATCTATAATTGTGTTTCAGGCAACTCTTTGATAAAATAAATAGTTCACTGGAGACTCTCCAGTGTGGGGGTCAGCAAACAACAACTCGAGAGCCTTCTAGCACACTGTCCGTTTTTGTAAATGAAACTATGTGGGAATACAGCCATGCTCATTCACCTGTGTATCATGGCTGGCCATGTTTGCACTGCAAAAGCTGAGTTGAACAATTGCAACATGGACCTGAAAAACTTACTATTTTACTTTTCCTAAAAGTTTGCCAATTCTTGCTCTGGACTCTAGAGTATGGTTTCACAAATTTTGAATGAATACCCTTTTTTTGTAACTAAGTCCCTAGTTAAAAGAAACCTTTTATATTTTAGTACAATTAGGTGGATCCATAAATCAGATATATAATACTCTTGTTTATATTATTATTTAGATGAGAGAGAAGGAGAAGAGATGGGAGTGGGAGTTAGGAAATACTGATACAGTTTAGTTTCTTTAAAAAATCAGAAGTAGCTCTGGCTGGTGTAGGTCAGTGGAGTTAGTGTGGGCCTGTGAACCAAAGGGTCACAATTCGATTCCCAGTCAGGGCACATGCCTGGGTTGTGGGCCGGGTCCCCAGCAAGGGGTGTGTGTGAGGCAACTGTACATTGATGTTTCTTTTCCTACCTTCCTCTTTCCCTTCCCCTCTCTCTAAAAATAAGTAAATAAAATTTTTTAAAAATTCAAAAAACTATAAAAAATCAGAAGTAAATTGTGACAAAATAGTCATACCTGTCAAATCTAGTTGATGGGTATATGGAATGCTATGAAATTATTTTTCGTTTCTTATGTTTAAAATATTCTATAATTAAATAACTTGAAAAGTTTAAAAAGGAAAAAAAATTACAGCCCTCCCTTTAAAAAAAAGAACTCGTAGTGGAGTTTTGATGCCATTCGAATGTGGATGTCCGGGGGAAGTCCCTCACAGAGTGGTGCCAGCAGCAGATGACCCTACTGGAGTGGGATGTTTTTGTGACTGAAACTCCAGAATCATATCAGCAGTTCTAGAGTTTCTGCACATCTGTAAAATGTGTCTGCCTCTGCTTGGGTACTTCAAAAAGTAGCACCTGCATCCAAAACCAGAGAGGAAGGTCATGGTCTCCCAGAAAAGGAGCATCCTGTGTTGGAATTGAGAGACAGTTTGGAGGAGAGAATGCCTGAAGTAATAAGGGCTCTGCAATTTTTTGTTGGCATAAAATGCGGATCATTGACTCATAGTAGGATAAATTATTTAGGAAGACCAAACACCATGTTATACACTGTTTGAATATTTATGTTTTTGTTGTTTTTTTAAAAAAGGTACTTTCAATCTGTAAGCATGTAGATATGTAAAGGAAAAATAACTCTCTAAATAATTTAAGATTTACCCCTTTAGAGGCAATAGATCAAGTCTCATTGTCCTTTGGGGGATCCTTCCCATATTAAAGATGTTGCCACTTATTTAAATAGGGAGGGAAATTTGAAATCTTCTACTGCTGTAAAAATTATATCTAGTCAGCCTTTAACACACATACATACACACATGCAGAAAGCTGCTTATCTGCCAAAATTGGATAGCTTTACCAAATGCAAGTTTAATTAACTAGAAAGGAGAGTTAAATTTTAGTAAATAATTAGGGTGATTATTAAGCACTTTGGTGCACTTAAAGTGTACTGTGTAAATGCCATCATAGCATGAGTATCGTCCTGGTTTGATTCCCTGACCATTTCAAGTCATTCTCTTTTGAGAATAAAACTAAAGTAATGGATAATTTTTTTTCATGGAGAAGGAATATACAAAACAAAAAACAACCTTTAGATGGGTAGCATGATAATACAAACTCTTATTATGTACAAGATAGGGTGTTATATATTAAGGATATAATCACGGATAAATCATTGTCTTTATTCTCAAAGAATTCAAAGCCGCCGTGTGGTGGAGAGGGAAGTAAAAAACTTAGTATTACAGTTCTGGCTGGTGTGGCTCAGTGGATCGAGTGCTGGCCTGGGAATCAAAGGGTAGCCGATTCGATTCCCAGTCTAAGGCGCATGCCTGAATTGTGGGCCAGGTCCCCAGTAGGGGGTGCTCAAGAGGCAACCACACACTGCTGTTTCTCTCCCTGTCTTCTCTCACCCTTCCCCTCTCTAAAAAGAAATAAATAAAATCTTGTAAAAAATTAAGTATCACACAAAATATAAGTGTTTCAATAGAAGTGTGTGTGTATGAATGCTTTAAGAGCACAAAGAAGAGAGAACAGTTTTTTTGACAGGGAAGCATGAAGCAGGTGCCATGGATGTACCTATCAGGTAACATGAGTGGGCAGAGAAGGGAAATAAAGAGGGCACCTCCCACAGAGGGAAGAGCACCAGGCAAGCATAAAGGTCCCACATGCATACCTTGTTTGAAGAAATGTGAATTGCTTCATGCTGCTGGAATCTAAGATTGTGGGAAATAAATGACAGGAAATGTAACTGTAAAGGTGATTAAGCTCTAAAGCAGAGCTTACATATGATCAAATATGGATTTTAGGAAATAAATCATCTTAATTAAAAGGGAAAGGGAGAGGAAGGTACAGACCAGTAGCAAGGATGGCCAATGTCCTTGTGAAAGATGGGGTAATGGTAGCTAATTTAGGTCATTAGCAGAGATAATAAGGAGGAGATAAATAAAAGGATCTTGCAGGGGTAGGTAAGCCCATTTGGGGCTGAGAGAATGTAGGTAAAAATGGGCAGTAAAGGGGATGACATAAACCGATGTAGAGAACAAGTGAGTTGGAAGCAGGGCAGGGGAAAAGTCGTTATTTTTCATTTTTAATGTCTTTGGGTTACTGATGCCTTTTTGAGATGGAGAGCATTCGGATCTAGACCCCAGGGCAGAAGGGAGACCTGGAGATGGACATTGGGGATTCATGTGTAAATAAGCGATGATGGAGGTTGTGGGGTTAGAGAAATTGCTGTGAACTAAGATGTAAAACAGGATAAAATGAGGATGCAAGTGACCCCTTCTGATTGTTGTGTCACTGTAAATGGATGTGTTCCTTGGGAAGACGAGGAGGCTGCTCTGCAGTTCCTGTCCCCACTCCTTGACAGCAACTGGGCTTGATCATCTACATCCCCTCTCTCACTAATTATTGTTTTTCGTTCTCCCAATTGACAAGAAAAAAATTAAAGTATGTATGGTATCCCACGTAGTATTATTTTGGGCCTTACCCCCTCCTCCTCTCCTTCTTTCTGGAAATACCCATCCCTCTGAGCAATACCTCCTGATGTGTTGTCGCAGTCTGGAGTGACTCGTTCAGGTGAAGAACCCTGCAAAGAGGATGAAACAGAAACATCATAGCCAGATTGTAGTAAAACTTTTGGAAGAGATTTTAGCAAGCATATTTATGACTTTTTCACAATCTGCTATTTCTTTTATTATTAATTTAATGTATGTAGGATTATCATGATTTGCATTTAAGAACCACATTACCTTCCATAATGGCACATTTTCTTCAACAATATAATTTAATAGAAAAGTATAGATACTTCAGTGAATATTGGAGATTAAAATGAGTTTCTGCATTTCTGTTGACTTGATCATTTTCCTGTTAACATAAGAACATTAATTGTTCATAGAAATAGCCCAAACAGTTTATCGTCTATGTTGCTTACATGCTGTGTGTGAAATACTGAAAATGTGGAAGAAATTAAAGATACTTTTTTAAATCTATTATTACTTAACTTTGACTCATTTCTCTTAGATCAGCTTTCAAATAATTATATTGATACTCATGGACCAAATTCAGCTACAAATTCCATTTATAAATTTTAAATTACTGGGAACATTCATTTATCATTCACTTTAAGATGACCCAGCATTTAACAGCAACTTAAGTCAATTTTGTCCTGGTGAAGTGAAACCCAGACTGTCTGGTGCGCTCCCTCAGGCTCCACAACAGACTTCCAGAGTGAGGAGATAA